TAGCCAATCAGAAACGGAGAAATATTTTGAATGAATGATAATAATTTTTACTTCCCACTTTTACTAGTACTCCTCCAAAAAAAACTGCTAATTCTTCTGGGAACTGGCCACTACTATTAGAAATGTCAACCGTTAAAATTGCAGATAAATGTTAACCGCAAAAAGGTTTCAAGGTATAATCGCCCCGAAAACACGAAGACACAATCCCAGTTCAATTGAAAACCCGTGAACCGAAAGACTATCGTCCAGGGAACGGAAACAAAATGCTTTTCCCAATCAAAAGGTTGAGCTAATGAACAGGTGAAAAATTCTCGCAACTTTTGACTGTATCTCAACGCCCTAAATACCGTACCAAATCAGTGAAAGAATCGTAATACTGATTCCAACACATACACGGAAGTCTTATACAGACAAAATCCAGATGCAAGGATGGACTGAGGTCTATACGAAAGATAACTGGTTTTATACCATAAAGTGGTGTCAAATGTAGAATTAAGAACGAATCAATCAATCCTATATAAACATAAAAGGGCTAAGTTTATTTTAAACAACATCACTACTGAAATACGTGAGCGGCAGTTCGCGAACATCTTTCACTTTGTAAAGAGGGAAACTATGGCCCTCCGGCAAGGTGATTAGTTCGAGTACGCAAGTCTGGCAATTAAGATAAAACTTTTTAATTTTAAGAAAGTACTTGAAGTCCTCTAGTGCTGTATCCGCTTTCAGTTCACTGCTTTATTTGTTTCTTTGTTTGTTAATTGAAAGTTCAACTGCACAGTGGTTACGCTTCGTTTCTTTCGGTGATTCATTAGCGATTCACGTTTGCCAAAGTAAAGTGTAAACGTGACGGTCTCTTGAAATGCATGCATGCGTCGTCGAATCAGATGAAGTAAACATAAACCTAGGACGAAAAAAGACGGACGTTTCTCTCTCATCACCAACAGTCAACTCGTTCGAATTCGTGTTTCCGCGCATTTAAGCGAAATGTGTTAAGAGAAACGAAATGAAGCAATTTTGGCGTTCGTTTGTTTTCAGTTGCTTTTCGTTATCGAGAAGGCAATTCATCCAACTTGCAATCTTTATCAGCTTCGTTTCAGTTCAATACTTCTATCATGTACAGCTAACCACTCGTCTTAACGACGCACTTGCTAGATTGGACAAGTTAGAGAACTGGATTAACAGTAGAAGTAAAGATCAGAAACAGATGAAGCCTGCACACATGAAGGTAATTTATGGCCATTCCCGTAAAAGGCGGAATTTGAATGAGGGCCAGATTAACAAGTTATGGGAACGAATTGAAGGCTTGGAAAATCGGTGAGTAGAGAATACCATTAAAAAAATAAGCGAAAGTTTAGGATTAGAAATATTATAAGGAACCTTGAAGCGTAATAGCTTTCAAATTCAATCTCCAAGTCGCCTGGTGCCTGAAATAATAGAAATAACTGCATAAAGCAAACACTTATGAAAGTAATTCTTGTAATTGAATGTTCTAGTATTGGGTGCGTGATTATCAAGGATTGTGTGAATAGAATAATAAGGCTTAGTTGATTTACACAGTCAGTGGACAAATTCACGCAATGTTGTCTCTTCGGCTTTTCCCTTAAGCAGTCTAAAACTCACTTACATGTTCGAAACCCGGCAATATTTTTGTTCTGTGCGGATTGTATACTGACCTATCACTCGAAAGAATAAGCAGGTGAAAAACTCAAAAGAAAAATCTCGAATTGCAGTTAGTATAAAACTGAGAATATTCAGTTTAAAAATAATAATAACGGGAGCAACAGGAAGATGTGCTCATCTAAAATAATGGTCCCACTATAGGAATGCACTCAGTGAGCCAGACAGCTTAAATATAGTGCACGATTGACTCAAAGTTAACTGAAACAGTAGACATGCCAAGCCGCGTTCCAAAAGGGTGGGTGTTCTCATATACAATTGATGCAGTGCCAAAACTAACAACTGCTTATCACGACCTTTTTTACTGTGTACTTCTCTTGTCAGTGATCACGAGCCAACACTGTTCTGATGCTATTACACGACCAGAATAGCCAAGGCTACAATAGATAACTTCAAGATTGCATGAAAAAGTTAGAAACCGTTTCAAAGAAAAAGTATGTTAGTTATTTATTGCAGGAAATTTACGTTTTTTGCATTTCCCTATATCAATTATTTAATTACACTGCTAGATAAAAAAACTAATACAGAATTTGGAAAGATAAAAATCCAGTGAGGATTGATGATCCAATTGACATGATATAGATAGTTCAAGAACGTTCGTGAATAAACTGCAGTTTATATTCGTGAACAAATTAGTGTCAATCACGGTTGGGCCATAAGCAGGTTTATTTTACATATCTTCTATATTTGTTTCCATTTTTCGACCAGACTTGACAAATAGAGTACGATTGTTGACCAACTAATTTTAAACTTTTTTTGACGCAAAATGTCATCAAATTATGACGTCCCAACGACTGACGTCACCAAAATGGTCATAGTGCACATTTCACTTTCATAGTCAAACTAATATCATCTAAAAGAGCTTTAGGAGAGACGTAAAGCAAGAATAATCGTTTCTACGACAATTACAACTTAAGTTATGGGACTTCAAAGAAATTTAAGTGCAACTCCAGGAACCATGCTTTTCCTCGCTTTTTTTCTTAAAAGTATGTCCAACATCATGCATTTTCTCCGATCACACAGACCTGATCGAGTTTTTCGAGGAGCAGAGCACGGTCGGCCCATAGGACGCAAAAAGCTGCAGCCTAGGAACTACTTTTGCACGTTTTATTCGTTTGAGCTCAAACTTTGCAGGATGGTAGAACTTTGTATTCTAAAAAAATCCCATGTTTTTTGTCAGTTTTCGATTTGAACTGTTTTAGGCGGGAAAGACGGCACAAGATTGACTGGCGGGAAAACGTGGTAGCCGTCGTCACTCTTCTACGAGTTTTAGCGATAATGTCAAAGCGGCGGAAACAAGTTATCAAATGTTAGAAGTTTTATCATTTTGCGATCGGGAGAGTGTGTAACCTCCTACACTTATAAAAGGGAACGGTGCTAATTTTTTTAGTGAAAAATGGTAAAATGAAGATTTCCGGGGAGTCTATATTTTGAAAATAGGCGAAAGAACTTGAAGTCAAATCTCGTACTCGAAGTCGTCCTCGTCCTGAAATCTAAAGGTTTCAATTAACTGCTAAAAAGGATATTAGGGAGCTTATATGGCCACGACCACGACGAAGGACCGAAGCGAGAAAGTCAATGAAGGCGATGGTTTTACTAACCAAAGATTAGAGAAAACAACTTAATCAGAATAATTAAGAATATATATTGTGCAGTTTTCATGACGAGATGATCAACTGCGAATTAAAATAACAAAAAAATAAAAATAACTAAATTATAGATAAGAATTACATCATGTATTGTGTATAATATCAAAAAGCCTAACCAAGAATAAAAAGCCTTACTAAAAGGAAGGTACGTCTTTAAAAGTTTTCCTAAAAATAAATAAAAATTACATAGTCGTGTATAGGTATTAAGTAAACCTAAGAATGAAAAGCCTTACTAAAAAAAGCGCCTTTAACAATTTTTTAAAAAAGTCAACAGATTTGACCATTCTAATTTTCAGACTTAAATCGTTCCAGAGTTTAGGCGCCGAAGCAACGAAAGCACGGCCGCCCACGGTTGTTAAAGTTTTAAAATTCGGGTGAGACAGCAGTATTCCGTTGTCAGATCGCAGTCTACATCTTGATATAACTTTTGGTACATTTCCTTCACACGACCACAACGTGAACTTCCTAATTTCACGTCTCATCGCTCGTTTCATCAGAAACTAAACGCAAGACAACTATCTCTAGCTTTTTCCTTTAATGTATGTTCTTTTTAGCTTATTTTGGAACATGGGTACGGTACTTTAAAAGAGGTCAACTTACGAAAAATTTGCCAACGTTCAACTAACTGAACGAGGTAGAAAATTAGCGATCTATTTCAAGACCACGTGATGCATATCACTTCAAGTGACGTTTTCAATGACGTCGTCTTTGTGGTTGCTTAATTAATTGTCCGTTCATGAGCTTATCCACTAGGTAAATATCTGTTCACGATCTATCAAAATAGCCCTCTCGGTAGAGATTTATTTCATAGACAACGAGAATCGGTGTAACCACACATGGTTATTAGTTACGTCTGCTTGCAAAAATCGTTGTAGTCATAAACAATTCATCTACAGAAACAAGTAAAATAAGTTACCGTCTCCAGAATGTTGGAGTAAGCACATTCATACTGCTTTTGCCTTGATAAAAGATATATAAAAGGGTCAAAGAGAATAGAGATAATGTGAAAGATTTTCGGGAAGAATCCAGTTGAACTAGTTGAGGTGGTAATTTTAAAATTGTTGCTTCAATCCTCGAGAAAATCAAAACTGTACAATATAATTATCCACTGCTGTTTTCACATTGTTTTTGTAGTATCACAGCCTCAAACAATTTCACTGTTACTGGCCAGGGAGCATTCTGTGCCCAAGGGTCACCAGGAATGAATGGTATGCCGGGTAAAAATGGAATACCGGGTCATGATGGGAAGGTTGGAATGCCAGGAAGAGACGGTGAGCATAGAGTTATTTTTTCTGTTGTTTTTAATTAAAACTGAACTGAAAGAACTGGGTTAGATTTGTTCTATTCCTGCAATAGGTAACTTATAGATGCATTTTATTGGTTTGAGTTTAGTTAAATTAAAGACCAACTTATTTCATACTACTGTTAAATTGCTTAGTATAGAAGAGCTGGTTGAATTCAGCTCAAAGCGGTAAGGGAAACTCAGGATTGATAAATCCTGGAATGCTGAATTTTTTTTCCAGATCTTTTCAGTGAGAGGTTAAAAAAAGTAATTAAAGTTCTCCGTAACACCATTTAAGAACAATCATCTTGATCATACCCTAACACTGAAGTACCTTCTGCTTGCCCATAACATAGTATCCGTGTTTATTAGTGTAGGTAGAGATGGTACCGATGGACGGCATGGAATACCGGGGAGAAACGGAATCCCAGGGAGACAGGGACTACCGGGTAATTACAATTACATTTTGGTTCTTGGCTTAATACTTTTTGAGCCCCGTGTAAGGGAATCCGGAAAATTTTGTTCATAGAATCCGGAATCTGAGTAATTTTTGCTTGTGGAATCCGGAATCCAGGACTTTGGAATCTGGAAAACGTACAGCTCAAGGAATCGGGAATCCCACGAACAACTGAAATCCAGTTCCACTGAAAAATAATCCGGATTCCATTTCTTGGAATCTGGAATCCAAGGATTGGAACTGCCTTGGGTTGCCTTACATGAAGTGAATTTCTTGTAAGGCGATAAGGCCTGTATGAATCCAGGGGAGGAGCCGCCCCTCCCCCCTTATTTTTAGACCAAACTGACGCCCTAAGGGAAAAAAAGGTTTTTTTGAGGCTTTCAATGATCGCACTTTCAGAGCAGTTCTTCAAGATTAGACTGTGAAATAACGGTTTCAGTTTACAGAAGGTACTGTAGCAGGCTTTGTTTCGTTCAAGGTAGAGATGGTGCTGCAGGTCCTAAAGGTGAGAGAGGTCATAAAGGTCACAAAGGTGAACTTGGCCCACAGGGACCGCCTGGTGATCCGGTAATCTGCCAAAAGAAACCCGTTACAGAGGAATCTAAGCAAGCGACTTCTGGAAGCACTGTGTTCATTCGCTGGGGCCGTAGCGAGTGCCCTGCTAACAGAGGGACCGTTCTGGTTTACGAAGGCACGTTAGTTCATATATACTTTGATTATTACTCTAATTCTCAAAATCACACAAACTTAAAGGGGCTATGTAACGAGGATATTAAGGTTTTAGCTCAATTCTGTGCTGAAGACATTGCTTTAGTTCTTTATGTGTTTTATCCGTACACAAAATCCTCCGTTAGAGATATATGAGGTAGATACCAAACAAATTCCACCAGGAAGGACTAACCATAACATTCTTGGCGTGATCTTTCCAGGTATAGCATTTAAAAGTGAAAAAAAAAAATGGCCCACTATTTCAAGTTTCAATCTACTGAACCCATATTCATCTTTGCATCCGTTGCAGTAGACGATGGAGAACAGTTTCAATGCTTAAATGAAGTCTTGAATAACAAAACTGTAAAACTGGATAATGATTCAGTTGATATGAAGACAGATTTTCGCTTTTTGAAAAGAAAGAAGTTGACTTTTTTACTTTGTAGTGCAGAATTTACTTCTCAAAAACATTAATACCCCCATTTTTTAAGATACGAAGGGTTTGTCAACCAGGAGTTCTAGTAATTAGACGCCGTACGAGATACCAACTTATTAGGGGTTCATTTCTTCAAATAGATTCAAGTTAGTCTTATGGCACGTTTGTTAATTATAAGGGTGTGAAATATCGTGTTCGAGGCGGCATGTGCTAGGCCCTAATATATGCTGATTAATTTTAGTGTGCGTTCGGTTAGGATGATCTGACATTAAGTGTTTGAAGATCACTCGCTTTATAGCTCATCAAAGAAACTGACGAATCCAACCTGGGAAAGGATTCATCGGGTCTTTTGATGTACCATGTTCAGAACGATCTCGGGCCTGTATGACTGTATGATCCCGAATAAACCCACCCTAATAAGAGTTTAGAAATGAACACACAGACCAGAGAGTAGAACGACATACAGACAGAGATAGACGGACGGGCGGGCCGAAGGACAGAAAGACGGACGGACGGACGGACGGACGGACGGACGGACAGGCGGACGGGCGAAAAGACAGATAGGCAGACAGACGGTGAGACAGACAAACAGCTGACAGATGGACGGACGAACGGACGGGCGAAATATAGAGAGACAGACGGACGGACTGACAGAGAGACAGACTTATTAAGCATTTGGCGATAAACTGAATATCCCTGTCTATTTTTTTTATCAAGCTAGGTCGAGTAGCTGGATGGCAACCAAGGAGTAAAGGAGGAGGAGTCAACTACCTGTGCATGCCTCTGAGTCCTGAGTATACCAAGCCCGCCACCCCTGGATTCCAACCGAAAGCATCCCTCTTCGGTGTACAGTATGGTCAAGTAGACGATCTTTTCCCACCAATCCCAGGTCATAAACCAAACATAAGCTACCTTGGAGTACCCTGCACTGTATGCCGAGCGGAGAGAAGAGGATCCCTTATGATGATCCCGGCCCGTAATGTTTGCCCTACTAGTAGGTGGACCCGCGAGTATATCGGCTACCTTATGACAGACATGTCAAACAGTACCGCCCCAGATTACATCTGCGTCGACGCTGACGCGACTGGAGTTGAATTAAAGCACAACGAAAGACATTCTGCAAATTCTTTTCTCACTTCAGTTCTTGGAAAGTGCGGCGTGCTCCCCTGCTCGAGCTACGAACCGAACAGGGACCTGACTTGCGTGGTATGCACCCTGTAGGCGAGAAAATTGTTCCTCTGCCTGTCTGCAGACGTGTACTTGAAGGAAAAAAAACGAACCTCTGGCTATTGGCTTTTGCTAATTGTGAAATGTCTTCGCTTCCAAAAACGGAAGCAGGGGCATATCGTCAAAGTTTGAAAGTATACGCAAGAATGCCGAATCCTACTAAGGTTGTCTGGGGCTTGCTCCCCAAGAAAAATTAAAATTTAAGGAAATCGGAAGTGCCATTTCCTGCCGGTTTTCAAAGGTGATTTTCAGTAACTAACTACGAAGGAAAATGCGGTAGTTAGGTGTTATTTTTTTCTTTATATCTAAAGTTATCGGTAAACTACAGTATAAACGGAAAAAAGGGTAAAACAGTGACGCCATCAACGAGGTTTACGAGGCGAAGGCCGAGACGTCTACCTTTCAGACGGGCAAACTCTGTTACAACACCATCAATATCAACGTCCATGTGCTTACAAGCGTAATGCGAAACATTTATCATTTATCCCGATTTAGTGGTAAAAATGCTTTTAGAATTTAAAAAAAAAACATAGATTTTAGCTGTACGCACGAGCGTATGCGTGTATATAGACGTTACGCTCCTGGGACTGAAGTAATAGAGAGGAGTCGCACATTTGCGATAAACGGCAAACGTGAAATTCAAGTTTAGAATGTTTTCAAATAGAAAATGACCACAAACGTTCCAAAACATACAGTTCTTATGTATAAAAATGGTGTGAAACCACTAATATTTGTAAATACTTCTACAGAATTTGTACCACGTGACCACTTTTTCCCTTACAGTAAACGACAAGTAAAGGGCAAACGTTGTCACGTGGTGCAAAATTCTCGTTTGCCTTTTTTTACCGTAAAAGTAACTCTAAATCTCTCTAAGACCAATTTCACTTTAAAAGCGAAAAAGAGTGGAGTAATAAAAACCCTAACAGTCTTAAGGGAAGCTGAGGTAAATAATCTAATGTAATGTCACTGTACATGCACTAACCCTTCAAAGTTATCACAGGTAATAAACTGAATGTTGATGAAGTCGGTCAGACTTGCCTGTTCCCAGACCCTCTATTTTTTCTTCAAAGTCCGCCGAACGCGCGTGATTAAAAAAACAAAAACTGCGGGGGATTTATTGACCTTTCTCGCGCGCTCGCCGATGTTTTCGAAAAGAACGAAAAGAAAAATAAAACAACATCTGTGTACAGGATAGTCAGACTTTGTTATATGCTTTTCAAAACTAAGTCGTGGCCGTACCCAAAATGCTCTGGGTGCCAGAGGCTTTTCATGCGCGACTTCCGGTTTCGGTTAAGTCTTGCAGCCGACGAAGCTCCTCTTCGCATGCGAGAAAAACCTCTGGTACCCAACTTAGACGTGTGATTCTTATTGTGACATACTCAACTTAGTAATTTTGCAGCCTTTTTATTTCTCCGAGATCTATAGGTGTATGGGGCCTTACGAGGATAGATGAAACACTTTACAAAATGTTACATCGCTTGTGTGTCTAGCTGCGATATTTTGCAACGCCAGCATTTGTTTTCCCACGAATTGAAGTCTGAGGAACGAGAACAGAAATATTTTACTGATAATCTGTTACTATCCAAACCATGGTGAACGGCCGAAACAACGCTATCCTGCAGTGCAGGCGTTTTCTTCGGGCGCCCCAATGTTTTTGCTCGCGAAAGCGCTATGTCGAAACTCCATAAGAGAGAAGGAAATGGGGCGAGTTGCTATTTCTACTCTCCCGCCAAAAATACGCCTGCACTGCAGGCTAAAACAACGCAATCAAAACGAACCCTATCAGAAACTAGCAATTCTTTAGGGAATAAGCATTTATTGATACCTATTACGGTAACTTATATTATTGTAGTTTATTTAAACCAACTATGGTCAAACCACGTACGCATTCGAACGTTTCCCTTTATTTCCTTCACCATACATAAAATTAATTGTAACCCATTATCCTGTTCTTAAGATTTCAAGGAGGATGGCCAAAAGCTAAGTTGTCGTGTCTGCTTTCGCTCGTTCAATTATTGCGGGTAATCACAAGATAATTCCTCCTCAACCCAAACGAGACCGTCAGGACACTCTGCAAAGTAAGTAATCCCACCAACACAGCGGATGTATCCGCTTGGATCGGTCGGGTCTGCGTAGAAACCATCTTCTTTATCATCACAAAAATCTGAAAAGAGATGCGATTGGATTATTCAGTACGTATAGATGACGTTTGCCATGGTTAGGTAGTATTGGCTACATTTTAAAAAATTACCACAATAGCTCAACGAGTAAGAGATAAAATTAATAATAATAATAAAAACAATAATCATCACCATTATTATTATCATTATTATTCGTCCTTGGTTCCCCTGTGCGCAAGGGGAGGCCTTGAATTTACAGATCTTGTAGTGACCTCATCTTCTGAATACGAGGCTTCAATCAAAGTTACTAATCCGCTAGTGAGGCGTAGCCTCCAAATGCCTCAGAAATTCGAACACTGCAACTAGGCACACGAAAACAAAAAGACGACTTATTATTATCATTATTATTCGTCCTTGGTCTCCCTGTGCGCAAGGGGAGGCCTTGAATTTACAGATCTTGTAGTGACCTCATCTTTTGAATACGAGGCTTCAATCAAAGTTACTAATCCGCTAGTGAGGCGTAGCCTCCAAATGCCTCAGAAATTTGAACACTGCAACTAGGCACACGAAAACAAAAAGACGACTGTCTAAGTGAGAGGCTGGACCAGGTGAAGAACTCCCTGCCAACAAATGCTAAGCGAGCTGTTGAGTTAGCTACAGAGAAGGGATCCTCAAATTAGCTGACCGTCATTCCCCTAAAAAGAGCTGGATTACAATCTGAATAAGAAGGAATTAAGAGATGCAATCAAGTTATGGTACGACTGGGAAATAACGGACACGCCCATGATCTGCTCATGAGGTGTTCAATTTAGCCTGAATAACGCAATGGTGTGTCAGCGCGGCGGATTCATTATCCAGCGCCATAACAAACGGCGCGACTTAGAAGCAGAGATGCTAAGGATGGTCTGTAATGATGTGGAATTAGAGCCCGTCCTTCAGGAGGTCACTGGGGAGACATTAAATCATGGCGCTAACAAAGCCCCCTTTGGATATTCATGCTCAAAGCATTTGGGAGAGACAGAGATCTGCCTTCTTCGACGTTCGGGTGTGTAACCCTAATGTAGACTCTTACAGCGACTTGACTCCTAAGCAAATCTACAAGAAGCATGAGAACGAGAAGAAGAGGCAGTATGCTGAAAGAGTAATGGCGATCGAACAGGGAACGTCACTCCCCTAGTTTTCACGACCACAGGTGGAATGGCGGATGAGTGTGCTAAGTACCACAGCAGACTTGGGGAGCTGATCGCAAATAAGAAGGGAGAAAGTTACTCAAGCGCAATTTCCTGGATAAGAGCTAAAGTATCTTTTGCCATCGTACGCTCTGTGATACTATGCTTGAGAGGCTCAAAATCCAGAAGACGACAGCTAGACTTTGTGACCTCAGATCTTCAGATCGAAAATATTAGAGCCTGCCCCAATTAATTAATTTATTATTATTATTATTATTATTATTATTATTTTAATTTTTTAAAGATTTTTTTAAAGAATTAGGAATACGAGATTTTATTCTTTTTTAACTCCTTTCTTTTTAATATCAGAGACGGATGATTCTCTTTTGTAAGGACTTAATTTAAAACTCTGGACCGCCTGCAAGAGTTATTGATCGCATCTGAGCCGCAAGGAATGTATTTGGAAAATCGTTATTGACACAGTGATTGTATTTTTTATGACTTATATAATTCTTAATGTTATACAGTGCTTAATTCTTACTTCAAATATTTCTGTAAATTACGTGCATATTTTTAAAGTTGAAAAAAATTATTATTTTTTTTAAAAGATTATTATTAGTAGTATTATTATTATTATTATTATTATTATTCGATATAAAGGTGTGTCATCCCAATGCAGACTCGTATAGAGATCTTAGCCCCAAGTAAATCTACAGGATTCATGAAAATGAAAAGAACCGAAAATACAACTCTCGCGTCATAGAAATAGAGCAAGGCACATTCACCCCACTGGTATTTACAACGACAGGAGGGATGGCTGACGAATGCCTGAGATACTACTCAAGATTAGCTTGGCAATTTTGCGGAACGCGCTCCTATGCCTAAGGGGATCGAGAACCCTGAGAAGGAGGAACTTAGCTGTTAAGGACAGGGAAGCAGGAATTCTCTAGACTCAACAGCTATAGGTACTTTATTATTGGGATGTACATAGAAATTTTCATTTTTGAGTTTATAGACAGTTGTTCACATTTGCGCTGTTGAAAGCCACCAGACCACCAAGAAGTCTTTTTTAACTATAGTTATTCTAAATTTGTATTTAATTTTCAATTTGAGAAGAGTTTAATAAAGTTTATTTTTTTAAAATTATTATTGTTTTCATTTTAAGTATCATTATTATTATGATTATCATTAACATCATGATCATCGTCATCGTTATCATTACCATGCTATGATGATGATGATTATTATTATTATCATTATTATCATTATTATTATTATTATTTATGAACTGAAATATATGAAATAAATCATATTTTCAACTGCAGATAGAAGAAACTGAAAAAATCAGGCTCGACAGGTCGTCATTTTTTAACCGCTTAGGTTGTTCATTTCACTGCGAAGATCATGTTCACGTTCAAATCTTTTCCACAGTTCAAAATATGATTCATTTCATACATGTATATTTCAATGGGCAGAGCGTTGCGAATAAATAAATAATTGCAGATCAGAGAAGACTCGCACAGTTAAATTGCTTTAAATAGCAGGCTTGCCGGATTTCGAACTTTGACTGACTCCTGCAAAACCGGTGGTGGGGCACTCTAACCAATTGGGCTATTAAGCCAACTGAGAGCTTTTAATTACATTGATTAGTAATATACCCAGAAATATGAAGAAGGAATGATGTATCTATTTCTTATAATCCCACAGTTCAAATATATACCTGGAGTTATGTAAACCGGGTTAGCAAACATTTTGTAATTTTCTCAACTTTCCCTGTCTAACAGCTTCAGTTAACTGTGTTGTTTCCTTATGTCGTGTTTGTTTTTTTTTTTGTTTTTTTTTTTTTTTTGCTTCTTTTGTGGTTAGGGATTTGTGTAGAAGTGGATGTAGACAGAATTACTATAATTGTACCTTGGAAAAACGACTCTCGACTCAGGAAAATTGGATCTAGGTCTAGTTTCAACGGGCTCTAATGGCGTCATTTTAAATTTGGAGTCGTTGGAATGCTTCTAGGGACCATTAACTTACTGCCCGGCGTTAGATAAAGTCTCTTAATCGGCCTTTGAAAGAGTTTTAATTTATTGTTTTAAATTGCCAAGTAGTAGAATGAGTTGATATTTTTGCTAACCCGGTTTTCAAAAATCCAGGGATATATATATATATATATATATAGGCTAAATTACCGGGTCCTACGGTTGGTGGCACTGTAGATGAGAAACCTGAGGTTGTCTGAGTTGTGGCTGCTGTTGTTGGAACAGTTGTTCCACCTGATGCCGTTGAAGATATTCCAGGGGTAGTAGGTGTTTCTCCGCTGATAATGTCTGCAATATAGTCACTGTACATTTGACCAGCGATGGTGTTTTGTTGATCCCAGGCAGCATCCCACAGCATGAATCCACCGAAATAATCGCTATTATTCATGGTTTGTATATTCTGTATTTTCAAATAACATTTTCAATCGTTATGCTAACTGTTTGTCCAGTGGACACTTAGGATTTCATATTTTGGTCATTAATCAGTGTGAAAATACTGTAACTATGGAAAGTTATACTTGAGCTTGTTAGGGCTCTCAGGGTGACCCAACGACTTTTTCTAAAAAATAATTGTTCGAAGGGGCAAACATTGCCGATAAATTTATAAAGCTCGAGAAAGGCATATTAGGCATATCAATGTCCAAAAAAGGTCTCCTGAAAATTTATGTAGAAGAAAAAAAAGGTCACCTAGAATTATCTAATAATGAAAGTACTGCTACTGCATGTCCTCAAACTTTCGTACGGATCTATCGTTACTTGATCGTTTTTTGCCTTCAACAGGGTCAGTTTCGGATGAGACGAAAAAGCCACCTAAAACTTTCGAGAAGACGAATCAAAGTTCCCCTAAGACATACGAACAGATAATAGATTTTAGGGCAATACCAAATCAATTAACCAAAAAGGAATATTAAGCATGGAGAAAACCATTTTAGTCACTTCTGACACATTTGGAAACATAGAGCCATAGACCGGCTCTCCTGTACTATCACAAATAGCAGACAAGCAACAGAAGAAGAAGATTTCGATCCCCTTTTTTGAACTTTCCCCATAACGGTTTTAAGAAACATTAACTCCGACCCATTGTGGGACTTCTTCTGGGCGTCTATTCTCATCCTAAGATATAACTTACGGGTCGTTCTTAAATATTAACTTTAGTCATCTTTGCAATGTCGACAATTTGTGAGGTTTTATTAGGTGAAAACAGGTGAATTTTGAAAATGCTCAAATGTGTTAATAACGGAGCATCATGGTTAATAAAATTGGGTTATTTATATAGAGGAGATGCTTTAACATGCAGTTGATTTTTTACCTGGTATAAGTCGGAGACTTCCTCAGGTGTCATATAGTACTTTGGGTCTCCAGATCCTCCAGTGGCCGCTGGCAGTCCTACAAATATCTTCGGGCCCGATCCATATTCCGCTTGTGTAACAGCTGCGAATTGGAGCCATGTATCCAAATTGAACGATGTCGGGTCGCCAGGGTAACAATAGTTGTTATAAAACTGCACGTACAGGTGATCAAACTTGTCTCCTTGTTCTTCTAACGCCGTACCGGACCCGGGTCCCAAAGACAGATCTGGATACGGACATTGAGGGGCACCCGTCATCAGGTAGGGCTTGGTACCTGTTGCCTCCAGTTCTCGGAGTTTTTTAACCAGCTGGGCGTAACCGCCTGACAAGTGGTCCTCTATGTCCAAGTCAATCCCGTCAAGAATAGCGCTTTCAGTTTAAGGAGACATATGGAATACACAATTATATAGAGAGAGCGATAGCTTGAACAGTGTAGGAGCGTAACAATTTTTAATAGTAGTTTTAATGATACAAAATAATGTGATGGTGGATTTTAAGCCCAGTGAATACATGAGAAAAATTTTGATTAAGTTAGTGACGCAGGTGGCTCGGAAGTACTCCCATTAGGAATGGAACATATGACCTTCTGGCCTGGTTGTTCAAACATTACTACTACAGTTGCTCTAGCACTGAGCTACAGGAGACTCGAGGGTAATAAAGCCAGGCCACATGGAAACAGTCATGAACCTAGCTTAGTAACCTTAGTTCCCATCAGTCTCCTGTAACTTAGAGGTAAAGCATATAACTAGAAGTCATAGGGTCGACTCCTATTGGATGTACTGGGATTTTTTTCTTCCAAGCCGCTTGTGTCAATGTCTAACATCTTTCGCATGTTTTCACCAGGGTTAAAACTCTCCATCACATGCATTTCTATCATTGCGTTTAGGGTCATGTCAACATTCCGGTCCAGCAGTATACAGGACGTTTATCACATTAACCTCGTTTCACTTGTGGCCTATGCTCCCACGAGTTTCTTGTAGCTTTGTGATAGAGAATCTGGACTCACCAGAAGGTCGTAAGTTCGACTCTTGTTGAAAGTACTCGGTTTTTCTCTTCCGAGCCGCCTGTGTCAGCGACTTAAAAAAATCTTTCTCAATAAATATAGTACTCCTGGCAAAAATAATCGTCCTCGTCATCAGCATTATTTTTATTAATTATTACAATATCCACTTTATTACAGTATTTCTAAAAGTGTGTCTCTTCACCTGTAATACTACTAGACTGATCAAGGAATAAAGGTTTTAAAAAGGCCAATATAATGCATTTTTTGGCCTACTTTCTGTATACAGCGCTCAGAGCAAAAATAAGAGTTATAAGATTTTTCAGTAAAGACATAGTACTAAATTTGGCTTGGGATTCTTAAAGTACTGCGTGGCTGTACATCGCTTTCACTCACGTGGTCAGCAGCTATACCACTTATCCCTTCCCCAAGCAAACATTAACACTTACCTCTCCCTTAGGTTAAAGTGTTGACTTAGGGGAGGGGTAGGTGGGCAGTTTGCCAGAAACCTTAATTGGTCCGTTTTTGGTACATCAACATGGGCACCGTTTTATTGTTTCGTCCACCAATATGGCCACCGTGAAGTCATGTGAAAATGCTTGATTTATTAAGGACTTTGGAAAACAGTTTTAGTCATAATTAAGGAGAGTTATTATTACCTTCCAAATGGTCTAATATCCTCCTGGCCTGTTCCCTCAAGAAACAAATCCCACAAATTTTGGGCCAGGATATCTGCCTTCTGGTCGTCAAGAACATTGTAACCAGTTGCTCCTCCAAGCGAGATTAAGACTTTGGTGCCGACTTTCTGGCAGGCCTTGATACCACTTTCGATTTCTGGGCATCCGTAAAGCTTGGGATAATCAGATGAGACGGGCTCATAGCAATGATTTGCGAAGTTAACTTCTGGCATCAGATCTGTTTAGAGAGAAGTTCTATGCATGTATAATCTGTAAGGTTTAGGGTTAGGATTCAAAGGTTTTTTGAGAAACGTTAGACCGTCTATGTCTATATTCTAAACAGTTATTGGATGAGGTTTTTGTGACACCCGGACATACATACATTCATACATTTTATTTTATTGTGTTTTGAAGTAAGAGTACAATAACATGCCCGCGGGTAGCTAAGCTAATCTAGGCGGGTCATGTTTACAGAAAATAAACTAAATACAGCTAAAAGTAACAAGAGAACTCTGTCACCCATTAGTCAACGAAGAAAAAAGAAACGATCTTAACTAGCCTAGCAACAAATGAACTCGGAGCGCTGGCTGAAGCGTCCGGTCCGATTCAAGGCTGAACCGGAACTGAATAATCAAGGTCGAGGTAAGTGTTATCAGCCGAGCAGAAGGCCGAGGTTGATAACTTTTACCGAGACCTTGGTTCTGTTTCATTATACATTGTTCTGAAGAAAATAACGAGAAACACACTGTCGCAAGGAACCTGAATTGACATAATCAGTTATTGGTAATCATGCATTTCGCGAGCAACCTACAGATTAGTCAGATATCTGCTAGTAGATAACTGACTAATCTGTAGGCTGCGCTGATTTCCAAAATTAGCAGTAGGCTCTTAGCCAATGAGAAGGTAGATAATGAGTACAATGTATCATAATAAACGATATCTGGAACTAAATATGGACCAGGAAATTTCCTGTTCTGTTTTAATCTGTATATAATTATAGTATTTTTAGGGAAAAGAAGGGTAAACAATGTTTCGTGAATTTAAAAACTGACACCATAAAGTCAGTCGAATTGCGTCGTTGAGTCAATCTTAACTTTCTACATAATGAAAGTAATGATGACCACATTGCTCTGTGTAAATTTTGTTGCCCTTTTTAGAAACGTTTGAGAGTTATAGGGAAGGTCCTCCCAAGAACCCTTCCCTCCTCTCCAAGGAAGCCCAAACAAGCTTACTTGGAATAGAATAGACTGTTCACAGTTCTCTTACTATTTTTCCGTAAGTTTGTCGAGATCCAGCGCTTTGCGTTACGGGCTGCCATCTTGCATGAGAGCCAAAACCATTTTTTTCTCGCCCCCCCTCCCCCTGGAGCTATAATTCCCGACACCCGCCCCCTCGGTACATTTGAAAATCAAGATGGCCGTCATTAACGGTAAGACGCGCTATATCTGAGCGTTCTCACGAAAAAATAGGGGACTGTGAACAGTCTAGGAATAGAGCTAGCTGTGCCTGCACTTTTGGTTTTACTTTGTTCTCCGCTAAGATGCTAAAGATCAAGGCATAATGTATTTTCTATATGGACTAGATGATGATTTGTATACCGTTTATCTGTCAATATCTTCCCTTCAGTGTAATGGTACAATGCGTATAGTGATTAGTTACATGACACAACATCTATGGCCTTACCTTTATTCACAGTGCTAAAGAATGTCACCACAAAAGCGATGACTATAACATCGTATTGTCTTTCTTGGCAGATCTGGTCAAGTTCATCCTCGGGATTATCGGGATAGGCTACCCCTGCGCTATTCTGACCCCAGTAAGAAACAAGAAGATTCTTTCCAACTATTGAAAAAACGAATAAATAAGTGAAAAATAAATGAAAACTGAAAAGACATCATGGTATTAAAAATCATACTATGCTCTTAAAACAAATCTCGTAAGTCCATCGCTTATTATTAATATATTGGCTTCCTCGTTCATTTCATTAAAACTTTTGTATGTGTGTTAAAATTTATTTCGCTCTACGTGCGGTAATCCAGATTCCGGAATAATTAGAATCCGAAGTTCAGCTCGAGGAATCCCGAATCCCGCCAAAGACTGGAATCCGAAAGGCAAGTTACACTAGCAAGGAATAAAATTTGGTAGCCAGCAGCTACAACTGGGATCGTTCAACTGAACAATAACGAACAAACGTGCCGTCATGGGGTTTAAGTTCCTCTCCAAACGTTTCGGGCCCGTTTCTCGAAAGTCCCGGTAACTTTTTGGGCCCGAAATCAAATATTCAAATCTAAATATAAAGAATAAGAGGGCGGGTTCTGGCTAGCAGACTTCTCCATTTTGTTTCACTAACTGATAGTTTTATCATGCTAGATGCAAAACTATTGAAACCTCGATCTTTAATGTAAACGGACACAGCTTACAGGGCCCGTTAATTACCGAGAATTTCGAGAAAAGGGCCTCAGAGAAACGGCCCTTTAACAGTGGAGTTACAAGTACGTTGGAAACGTTGCAAAGTTTGCATACGCCATGAAAGAAAAATGCAATAGACCAAGCCAGACGTTTGGCAAGAAAACGCCTTCTTGATGACAAAAGAGCATTGAGGGCCACAGACGTTGGTGTCGCTGGAAACGTGCTGGCAGGTGCGACAGCGAGCGTGTAAGCATGCAGATGTACCTGCATGAGAACTGAGTTGTCTGCTGTGCGAAGAACGTACGAAGATATCATGGAGGTTACTGTCGCGGCGATAGGCGACCAGCGGTGGTTGTGGAAGACTGACGTCTTGAACAATCACCGCCCCTCTAATCAAAGGTCCGATAGGACTCCCTTGGTTCTCACCTACGATCCATTAAATGAAAGAATAAAGAGAATCCTACTTCGCAAATTTAACATCTTGACTGGTGACACTGAAACTAGGGAAGTTTTTCCACAATCACTGCTGGTCGCCTATCGCCAAGTTTTGGAGAGCACCTTCGAAGCAAAGACAAGAACGTGCCTGGTTTCCCTATATATAGCGGAACATTTTAACACGGCTGGTCACTTCTTGCCCACGGAATTATGCTCTGCGGGGAAAACGCGCAACGAGAGCACCAGGAGATGCGCCTTATTTTTCAGCGCGGCACCAGTCATCAACGGCGCTTAAACTCCGATTTCCGTTTCCTCTAGGCCGCGCATGCGCTACAAAGTTTTTTTGGGTGTTTACTTTTTCTTTCATGGATACAAAACTTGTAACGTTTCCAACGTACTTGTAACGCCACTGACGAAGGGATATGCCCGAAACTGAGAGGTGTGGAGAGGAAATCAAACCACAAGACGGCACTTTTCTTCATTACTTTTTGTTGAACATTCCCTTACTTACATTCTAAAGTGCCACGCAGCTTATCAGAAATTTTTTCCATGATCTGTTTAAAATTGGGATCCACAGAGTGGAATCCAGAATCCAAGACTCGTGCCGGGATTACCTACTTGGGGTGATTTGTTATAACCGTTCTATTTTTCACCCTTACTGCCTATAGTAAATAAAAGCGACAGGAGCAAAATGTAGTTTGGTTACGAAGGGAATGCGTTCCGATGAAAATTTTCTTCGATGGAGCTGAGTCATTCCATTCCTCCCTGGTGAGTTCAATTGTCCTTTGACCGGTGCGTGACTGTCATGCATATAAAGAGCACTCTTATAGATTCCACTTGTCCGAGTGTGACGATAGAAGGTGGTAAGTGCATCCAATAAGAGAGAATGCTCTCACACTTTGACGCCAGTTGTTACTGAGTTAAAGGCTGCGCGGTAGACGTTAAAAAGGGAGGGAACCGAATCGGGCGCTTAAGAAAGCGACTACAAGCCTTAATTTCATTTCCTTTCACAGAGGCACGGCAGCATGCAAACAGAGGCACGGCAGAGTTAAACTTTTTAAAGTATCATTTGCTAAACAATACATCAGCTGCCGACTTCTTGCCGGAATTATAGTGCAATAAACAGTTTAAAAAAAATCCTATTTGGTACTTAAGGCTAGGATTGTTTTATGAAAATGACTGATTATACTTAAACTTAGAATGGAGGATTACAGTTGGTCTTAAAACAATTCCACCAGGGAAAGTCAAATGGCCTTAGATATCAAAACTAAAGAACACATCTCACGCTTCTTCCAGTTTACTTACCGCTGTTTTGAACGAAGTAAGTGAAGACTAGCAGTTGAAAAATGACGCACGCAACTTTTATTTCCATTGTATTCTAGGGAATATAAATATCACAACTTGCTACAAGGTCATAACAAAAGCTTTGAAAATCATAATGAGCACTAACATTTTAAAACTAGGTATGAAATGAAGCGTCAAAAGTTGGCACACGAAGGGATTTTCTATTTCCTTTCTAAGTTTAAAAAAAATCAACAAGATGAACGAACACTGAACGAAGAAGGTTAATAAAAATTAAAACTATAAAACTTCGAATTTATTGAGCACATTTTTTAAGTTTAAAGAAGGCGATAAAAACTTAATAAAGCATATCTAGATGAAATTTAAAACAAGAGAATCTTAACAACAATAAAACTCTCCAGCTTAATAGATTTTCGCCAGACTTATCTAAACCTAAAAAGATTTTATCCATTTTTTTAATTGCCCATAGAACGGAAGGATCTGATATAGACGTTGATAAGAACTGCTGACTTTCTTAGAGAGTTAAAGCTCTAGATCAGTCCTTAGTTTCGACAAATCAGGTTGAACTTACCGGTGATTTTCTTCCTTGCCTTTCCCAAAAGGTAGTGTCTGCGTTTGAGATCCGAAGGCAAAGGCTGAGGAATATATGCCTAATCAATACATTCCTGAGTGCTAGTGGAGTTGCTAACAAGGGTTCAGGAATACAGGTCTTTGCATGTTAAAACAATGAACATGAACGTGATGCAAGCGTGGGCTACTAATGAGAATCCCCTTTTCCGTAAATTAATATGATCGTCTAGAAAAGCTGTTGTTCTTCATCTGTTCAGTTTTGCAATTTCATCTAAGAATCCACGCTTCTCAGTTATTGATGACTTTGAGTAGAAAGATGTATACAATGTAGTTGAGGACATGACAAAATAAGCTTCTTTCTTTGACAAAGTAGAGTTATGTAGCAAACAAAAGCAAGCAGCAAGCAGCAAGGTGAATGCCTTGGGCTAAAAATCTTCCCTGTGGTCTAAATTGGACCTTTGCCAGAGATCGTCGATCCAAACATAAACAATGGTAAACTAAATTATAATAGAATTAAAAATTCAATAAACTGAATCAGCATCATCAGCAGAGAGTTCGAGAGAATGTTTATCGAAAGATTTTAGAAGCCAAGGGCACTTGTCTTAAAAATAACAAGAAAAGTGGACCAAGTGATAATTCCTGAAGTACCTCACAAACAGTTCAAGAAGGATATATTCTACATTGTCTCAGTCTTCAACGTATTTAATTGGGTTCTACCGGAAAGATGGCTTTTAGACCGATCACAGGAAGTAATTACACGTATTGTGTATGAGTTCCCTAGCAACAGAGAGACTTAGCATCCCGACTACGGCAAATGGCAAACGCCAGTTTCTACCACGTGACCAAGTCTTCCCTTTGCACGTCGCTTGCTGATCATTACTCCTACGAAAAAAATTCATGTCAGTTTTATCCATTAGAATTATCTTAATTTTGAATCTGACGTTTGCCTTTTGCCATAAAGACGTCAAAATTAAAAGTATAGCGAAGATTTTGGAAAACTTAAAGTGATTGTTATCGATTGCAGTTTTAAACAGAATGCCAGTTATTTCTAGAAAATATACCAGCTTCGACAGATGTAAAAATTTACACTTCTCTCCAAGACTTGGGGGAATAAAATAGAAGAAAATTGCCTCGAGGTTCAGGAATGACCAAAAACATTTCTTTTGTTTTATCTTTCCAAACAACGTTGCCAAGTATGAATTTCAACTGATATATCAAACAAATTGGTCTTTTGGCAGGTTTAGTTGAATGATCTTTCCTAGGCCCAGATTGAGATTAAAATGAGATGTTGGGCTAACCGCCAAAAAAGACTGAGCTGATGAATTTTTTTTCCAAGATGGATCTTATTAAATTATGGTCAGAAAACAGCTGTAGCCCTGTAGTTGATGCAAGATTTCAATTGCATCATCAGTTTTAAGTCCTGGATTGAAACGTTTATTATGTAAGCGTAATTGGTTGACTGCATGAAATATCATGGGTGCAAGGTTTAGATAGCTTGCAGCTAGCAAGTACAATTAATTTGCTGGCAATGTTTAATGGCGACTGTTTTCTTTATGTTCAGGATCATCTATTATTTTCTGGAGCTATGTCCAGATAGGTAGGGAGTTGTAATTACTTTGTCTTTCATTGCCTATTTTATTCATCGACGGACAAGCTTACATTAAGTCTGTCTACTTCCAACTGAAAGCGCTAATGAAATTTTAACACCACAAATAAAACGGAGATTGACCTATAGTTTCCACTGTCTTATTTCCTTTCGCCCTTAACTCAGTTAACATGATTGTTTCGATTTTTAACCACCTCCCAGACTGAAAGATTTGTTATCGACAGTCTGAGTAGTTTTTGAGGAGTTTAAACCTTGCCTTAGGCTTATCGTAAGCCTAAAAGGTCGTATTTACTATAGCTGGGTTAAGATAATTTGAAATCAGATGTGAAACCTAAAAGAGCAAATTCAGTTGAATTCTTTTTGTCTACAATTTGGTGATTGGATACTCTAAAAAGAATGAAGAAAATTGTCCGAGAAAACGATTTTGATGAAAAGAAAAAGAAGCCTGATTTAAAATCTAACCCTGGGTTAGCGTTAACCAGCCTTAGAACAACTGGGCCCAGACTTGTTTTCTTGGAGAGATAACGCTCTCTTTCTGAGACTCATCCTGAAGGTCTGGATCCGCCACTGTTCACTTCAGGTCTTTTCTCGGAACAATTTAGGATTCTGGGAAACTGTCCACCTAGCCCTCCCCTAAGCTAACATTAACACTTACTTCTCACTTATGGCAAAATGATAGCTTAGGGGAGGGGTAGGTGGAAAGTTTCCCAGAAACCTAAATCGATCCCTTTTCTCAATAAACGTTAACGTGTTCGCAATTGTCAGATCCGAAGAAACAGGATGTCATTGATAGTTTAGATCTATGATTGATGTACAGCATTCTCAAATGCTAGAAGAGTTGCTACGCTTGCTAAAATTGGGGATTAGGGTATTTTATTATCACTATTCATTAATCATTTTTGCATCAAAATAACACATGGTGACAGGACGTAAAATTCTCCGCTTTTCGAAATACCAGATTAATAACCAGGATTGAAAACGAGAATAACACAGCTTGCTGAAAGTAACTTTTTATCAGTATTCTGTTATATTTTTACTAGTTCTTAGAATCCACATTTCTTTTTACAGTAATAAAAAATTTTCACGTACAAAATTTCTACAGATTGAAAACAAGACAAAATAAGGTTTGGTCTTGTTGAATGGGTGCATTTCATTCGTATGCTGAAATATAGCCATGAAACAAACAACTCTCCTTAAATATATTAAGAAGATGTGTCCCGCAGCATGTTGAATGCCTGTTTTAAATAAGTAATTTGGCTGTAGTCGTAATTATTAACAAAGATATTATTTTGCCTTTGGAATTTTCGACCACGCGCCGGGAAACGCATGTAATTCTTCAAACGATATAGGATTTTGTGTCATGGTCGACCTTGGTTGTGAAAACGTGTGAGGATTAAAAACAAAACTTTCAAAAAACCTTTCAAAAAACGTGAATCAAACAAAAAAGAAAAAACAGGACTCCGAGTTACGATGACGCAGACAGACAGTTAGGCAAAGGACAACGATATTCCAAGACGTCTTCTTTTTTTTTTCCTTTTTTTTTTCTGAGATGCTAAAAACTCCCGATAAAGGCGAAAAGACGCTCACATTCTTGTATCCATTTCTTGCCAAATACTTAATCACAATATTGCAGCACAATTATGATTTATGAAAAGTCTGTCACAATCTACTTTTCTCACCATCGAGAATAAATTAGAACTGAATATTGCAACAGTATCTCCTTGAATTATAAGAAACATTACAAAACAGCAACAAGTTATTGGTGACTAGGCCTTACTCTTGGTTGAGAGAAGCTTGCTAACCCGATCATGTGTCACATCTAAAGAACTTCACGTAAGGCCATTGCTAGTTGCTAGCAAGAGTTTAGGAATAGAGGTCTTTGCATATTAAAAACGTGAACGTGACGCATGGGTGGGCTGCTAATGAGGATCATTATTTTGCGTAAATATGCCGGATCGTCTAGGAAAGCTTTTGTTCTTCACCTGTTCAGTTTTGCAACTTCATCTGAGAATCCACGCTTCTCGCAGTTATTGATGTCTTCGAGTAGAAAGGTGTACAGTGTAATTGACGACATGACAAAAGGAGCTTCTTCCCTTGGCTAACTAGAGTTATGTAGCAAACAATTTCAAACAGCAAGGTGAATGCCTTGGGCTAAAAATCTTTATTGTGGTCTAAATTGGACGTCTGCCTGAGATCGTCTTTTGGTTCAAATATAAACAATGGTAAACTAAATTATAATAGAATTAAAAATACAATAAAATGAATCAGCATCATCAGCAGAGAGTTCGAGAGAATGTTTATCGAAAGATTTTAGAAAGGCACCAAGTGATAATTCCTGAAGTACCTCACAAACAGTTTCCAGAAGGGTATATTCTACATTGTCTTCTTCAACGTATTGGGTTGTACTGGAAAGATGGCTTTTAAACCAGTCAGGAAGTAATTACACGTATTATGTATGAGTTCCCTAACAAAAGAGAGACTTAGCATCCCGACTACGGCAAATGGCAAACGCCAGTTTCTACCACGTGACCAAGTCTTCCCTTTGTATGTCGCTTCCTGGTCATTACTCCTACGAAAAAAATTCATGTCAGTTTTATTCATTAGATTTATCTTAATTTTGAATATGACGTTTGCCGTTTGCCATATGCGCGTTTAAATCTCTCTAAGATCTCAAAATTAACAGTATAGCGAAGATTTTGGAAAACTTAAAGTGATTGTTATCGATTGCAGTTTTAAACAGAACGCCAGCTATTTCTAGAAAGTATACCAACTTCGAGATGTAAAAATTTACACTTCTCTCCGAGACTTGGGGGATTAAAATAGAAGAAAACTGCCTAGAGGTTCTGAGGAATGACCAAAAAAAATTTATTTTGTTTTTTTTCTCCAAACACCGT